GTAGACCACAAGCTTACCATGAGTCAACAGTGTGACGAGGTGGCCAACAAACAAACAAACCAAAAAGAAAAAGGCAAACAGAAAAGTAAAAATGATGCTCAGTTATATCAACAAGGGAAGTAACATACCACTTGTTTCTGCTTTGGTCAGGCCCTACCTGGAATACTGTGTACAGTTCTGGGTACCACAGTTTAAGAAGGTATTGCAAAGCAGAGGAGACCAGGATGGTGAAAGGTCTGGAAACCTTCAGTGCTCTACAGTTGGGAGCTAATTCGCATGTGAGTCTTTAAATGTATTACTTGGTCTCAGTATTCTCTTGACAGGCACAATGGGTCATTTTACAGTTGTTCCCGGTGGCTGTGCCTCCCTGTGGCGCTGTAAGGACCTGCATCTATGTGTCAGGCTTTCGTTCTGAAACCTCAGGTAATGGAGTGCTGCTGACCTGGCAGTCTTAATAATAGCTCAATATAGCTACAGCAGCAACTGTGGCCCTTCAGGTGTTGTTATTCTGCATGCCCCACCACCTTGTGCCACTGGCTGGAGGGAGTTGCAGTACAAAAACGTAGTTTGCTTGCCCTTAATGGGCTGGGTGTCTTGCTCTGCTTCCTCTATGTCCACATCTTTTAATCAGAAATTGTTATTGAAGGACTGGCCCAACCAAGAAGTCGTTCCTTTTCACCTCATGCAGCAGGCTTCAAACCTAGTGAGCAAACGAGTATTCCTCCAGCAAGTGATGTCAGAGGGCAAGCAAAGACCTTAACTCCACTGCTGTTTTTAGTGGTTTGAAAACTTCACTCTAAAAGGCCCCTCCTGCAGCAATTAACTAACCTTGTTAAGTGAGCTAGGACAACTTGCACCTATAAAAGGCTAGCTTGCTCAACACGTTGTTTGAGTCGTTTTTATTATAAATTCTAAAAGAGATCACTTCCGTGGCTTTTGTGGTCACAGGCATAGCTTTTTTCAGACATGACTTGAGACATAAAATTTATAATGTCACCAAATGCGATGAATAATTGTTTGGTGTTCTATCTTATTATGACCAAGGTAAGTCATCCTTGAGTTCCATGTTGAAGTGCCTACCTACTCAAGTAAATAAATCTATGGAACATTATTATCATCATCATGCAGGTCAGTCACATAAAAGACCCACAACTATAAGGTGATCTGTTCTGGATCTGCTCAATGTGTTAATTAAGAATTCTTTCTTTGCCTTCTCTTTCCTTCTGCAGGGTTCCGAGGGTGGCAAGCTGACACTGGTCAAAAGGGGATCCACCGAGGGGACGCAAAGCTTCAGATAAACCAGGACTGCCGTCAAGGTAGTTATTGGTCTTTAATTCTCCTCAGTGGCTATATTGGCACTGGTTGATAGGAATCCCAGTCCAAAAAGCTCTGAAAGGCCATATCTTCCTCATCCTATGCGTAATAAAGGCAACACAGAAGGCTTTTGTGGCCCCCAATTCTGATTAAGTCAGGATCACTATGGGCCCTCAGAACTAGGAGCTTTTTTTTTTAAAAAAAATGCTTGCCTGTGCATGTTGTAATCTACATTAGTGATTGTGAATATGGATCCAGTTCTTACATTGTGCGTGCATTGTAAACAAAGGTTATAGACAATGGCAGGAGAGCCAATGTGGAAGGATGATGAGATCTGGAGTCCTGACACATTTGGAGCACCTGACATTGCTTGTCCTGCTTTGTCTGAGAAAAAACATAAAAGAGAATACAAAAACTGATCTCCTGTGCATATTTGTATTTGTTCCATAATAATATCTTTTTTCCAAAACAAAAATTATAAAATCTAAACTCTTGTAAGTAGCACAACAGACTGGAGAGATGGAAACGTTCTCTCTCTATGTCTCCTCCTGTCTGTCTATATGCCCTCCCATGTATGCCAAGATAGTCTACATTTATACCTGTCTGTGTGTGAGAGATATGGGTAGGTAAAGGTCCCCCTTGCCAAATGTCCAGTCATGTCCAACTCTAGGGGGTGCTCCTCATCCCCATTTCTAAGCCATAGAGCCAGCGTTTGTCCGTAGACAGTTTCCATGGTCACGTGGCCAGTGCGACTAGACATGGAACACTGTTACCTTCCTACCATGGTGTTACCTATTTATCAACTTGCATTTTTACATGCTTTCGAACTGCTAGGTTGGCAGATATGGGTACTATATATCAATAGCACAGTAAGTGGTAAAACTGACCTTTCATAGTGCCCTGGAAAGATGGCAAGTGATTGGAAGAAGTGGAGAAAATGGCATGTGACTTGACTTGCTTTTATGAGTCGTCTTGGCAGTGGCCTATGCTGTGTTTTTGCATTCCACCTCACCCCAAGTGTTAAAAGTCCATTCATGTTCTGTTGCTTTTTCTCTCTCTAGTTGTAATGCCCTGTGCCATCTTACTCACCGTGCCCTGGTTTCCCCGGCTTTTCTTTTTGTCCTTATAAATGGAAATCAAGAGATGTGTATGTAATTGCTACAAAAATGAATCCAGTGGAACACCCCACAAAGAAAATTCTATATAACCCAGACATTATACTGTTAACATATGGGATTTTTCCATTCACAAAGAAATTAGAGGGAGAAAGCCAAGAGGGTAGTAGAAAACAATAATAATTACATGCTGATAAGTTGATTCAGACTTAAGGCAACCATTTCCAGCTTTCTAGGCACACAGAGTTCAGAAGTAGTTTACCATTTACTTCTTCTAGGAGCACTCTAGAATTGTGTAGCTTGTCCAAGGCTACATAGGCTAGCTCCCCTCCTACGAAGCACATTAGGGAATTGAAGTCTAGACCCCTGGATCCACAGCCAAGTACTCCAGCCCATTGAGCTAAGCACAAATATAATCACTTGCTAAATTAGTAGTATAAAGGATCGGGGTAGTAAAATTGAAATGTAGCTTCATCAATTGTGCTGAAGCTGCAACATATACTCCAGGGATTAACAACCTTTAAGGAAAGAAGCAGATGGGCTCCCCTACATCCAAGAAGGGTCAGTGAGAAGAATGGCTGTAAGAGGACTCCATTAAGTATTTTTATTTTAGTGAGTCAATGACTATTGTAAAGGATCCTCTGTTCCTGCAATACATGCTTCCCAAAGAATAAAACTAACTGGGACTTAATTCTAAGAAGGCATGCAGTGGCACTTCCCCCACTGAATGTGTGCTACCACTAAGTGACAACCAACCTCCTTTCTTACCAAATCAAGCCAACAGCCAGTGTTCCTTTTCTGCTGCTGCTTAAATAAGGAGACCTCTAAGGGCTAAATTGACCCTGTCCTTTTTTAAAACCATAAGAACATTTTTGGTAAAACGAACACAGTCTGTATTATTTTGGGGACAGAACATTGACCATGCTTCTCACTGCTGGCCAGTGGTATGCATGACACAGTGTCTTGTGGCTGCTAATTTCAAAAATAATAACCAGAGTTTGTGAACCAAAATAAGTTTATTAAACATACATACACATGCAAAATAATGAAAACGTCAAGAATAGCAGCCTCTGAAGTGTTTCATCAGACAGCTAAAAGTTCTTTCCACTTTCACTACTTTTTCTCTTTACAGCTTAAAGGCATTTAAAATAGTTCTTTATGTAAGACACCTCTACTTGTTCTTGGCAAACTACTGCACTGCCTTCTCTCTTAGACTCAGACGTCACTCCAGCCCAACATAAAACCCGTTCTGGTCTGATTAACTGCTTCTGCAAACAATGAAACTCTCTAAACTAAATCCCTAGAATCTGGGCTCTCATCTGCTTCACAGTTCTTCCTGTCTCTGACTAACTGAAATACACACACTCCTGAGAATTAAAACTGCATCTTTAGAGCCAAGCTGTATACAAGCCAATTATCACATAGTTCCATTCATAAGCATTCTATCCTCGCTCCCAACTCTTTTAAGACCCTCCTGGCATGCCTCCAGCAGTAGAAAAGGAACACTTCAATCAAACTCCAGTCACTTACAATGCATACCAATACAAACCCATAAGTAAAGAGAGAGAGAAATGTGGAATGGCCACAAGGCATGCCTCTCGGGATGTACTGCAGATTACTAACTGCACAGAAAATGACTAACTCCAAGGTTTAACAATTTACTTGCAGATTTGTTTCATTTGTATATTCAATAACGTTCTGTGTGCTATGTGGTGCCAGTAGGTGGAGCTGAAAGACCAATCTCTTGAGGATTGTGAAACCAGGAGATCATTTAACCAGCTTTTAAAGTATTCCTTATTGGTACAACTATTTAGTGTTCATTTGCTCTTTTTTTTTTTTTGCATGGTTATAAACACACATAGTCATGTGTCATTGGTATGTTACACTGGCGTAGGCTTTATAACTTGTATAAATCCATTACATCAAGGTTTACATTGCATTCTGCTGGTGCAAGGGCAGTTAGCAGCAGACATGTTCTTATCCAGAAGGCACAACTTTCAGCTTTTATTAGTAAATTTTAAAAAATGGGCACAATCATACCTTTCCAAGTGCGAGCATTGCGACACCTCCCATAGCCAGGCTCCCAAGGAGAATGCTGTGTTGATCTTTAGCAACGAACCTGTTCTAGCTTATTTTCCTTCCTCATCTAGAGCAGTTTTTCAATAAAACCATATTTACTCATTCAGGGCCAAGCTGTCCCCAAACAGTTTGCATAAGAAAGATAATTCATGGCATCAAGGATACTACATGCTACATGGACTGATGGATGTTAGACAGCATCAAGCTGGACTGATGAAGAAAATAATAATCTACTTGCAAAACTCACCCATCAACATAATGATCTGGAACTAATTCAGTTTTGATTGGCTATTCACTTCCTGGTGAGTTAACCAAAATTCATCCCAGCTTTAGGATGAGGAGTCTCTGTGTGACCTTTTTCCAATTCACCCTCCCCACCAATAAGGACACTTTATTTCCAAACAAGTAATATGTGGGGTGGTCGTTCAGGGCCCCTACCCTCTATCCTGGAAGCTGAGTGGAAAATTCAATCAAATAGAACTGCTCTGTGTGTGTGGGTGCATGCACCTGCGCGCAGATTTCTGCCATAACCATTTGAAGACTTTCATTCATAATTTTTCTATCCTATGCCTGAGAGTATGAATTTTATTCATGAAAGCTTGCTTTGAATGTTTGGTATTTAGTGTTCTAAATAAAGGTAACACCTCTTCTACATGTGAACAATATATTGTGGCTAGGAAATCCTATGTACTTCATCCCAGCTACTGTAAACATCTGTGCTCTTTTGCCTTGTGAGCCTTGGTTCCATTGGACCACTGTTAAAACTACAGAAGCCCATAAAGCAGGAGTGGGCAAAGAGTGGCCTGTGGACCTTGGGGAGATTTGTGAAGTCCCAAGGACTATCCCAGATTCCCTCAATTCAAAACATTCAACAAAATATCTTTGCCCCGCCCCCAATTTTGGATTTCTGCCTCTGGGCCTTGGTTGGGTCCTTTCCAATTCCTCCACATTCCAAAACCCCAACCCCAAAGTCCCTTTCTGGTCACTTCCTGTTTGATTGCTTTTAATGGTGATTTTTCTGCCTTTTCTGGACTTTCTGCAACCTGTTTTTGGGTCTGGAGCCTTGGATTTGGCCCCCAAGATCTCAGCATTTGGCCGTCTGGCCATAAAGAACCAAAAGTAAAGGGAGAAAAACAGTGAACATGCATTTAATATAGGATTAAAATTAAAAAGCTAAATTAGTATTAGCAGGACATCCTAAAGTCTCATGAACAGGCAACCCAGAAATTCAAGATTTAAATACAATGCACTGAACATGTTTCAGTCACTCATGTCTTTTTCAGCAATTACTTGATTTCACAGCAAGATACAAGGTCCCACGTATTATGGGATGACAACAACATAGAAGAATAACAACAACTACTACTAGAGAACTGTCAAAAAGGAAACAAAGTGTACCTGGTATCCTGTTCAGTGTCACCCAGAAATGTTCATCAGGGCTGTAGGTATCTCTGGACCATTCAAAGAGGTCAATGGAACGTTGATTATTGAGTACAAAGTCTGCAAATTCCCTTGTAATAGCAATGTAGGCAGAGCCAAAGTGGATGGTCAGGTCATGTGGAGGAGGCGCTTTCCGCAAAAAAGTCCACAACATGAAGGAAAAAAGAGTGTAGACTTGTTCTCTGTGGACATATTTTGTCCTAGGGATGATATGAGGTGGAGGCAAAACCCCAGGAGTGATGTTCTTGCCTTTGAACCCTTTGAGATGCTGGATGATTTCCTTATTGGTTTTCAAGGGGAAATCTTGCCCACATGCATTGAGAAGATATTTCCAGGGCACCTCAGATTTCACAAGATCTTTCATGCAGTTCATGTCTGCCTGAAGCCGGGATATCCCTGCGTAAACCACCAGCTCTGATTCTGAGGCAAGGAAGGCATTGGGGAAGCAGCCCAGCAACTGCTCCACTTTTTTCTTAAATCTGCTGGGGGCCTTTTTGTCCACATGGATGCAGTAGACATTTTGGGGCATATAAATCGCCCTGAAGAGCCTCTCAAATGTGTCAAACTCTTTGTGCAAAGTTACCATGTAGGCTAAAGGAAAGGCCGCTTCTTCAGCTGAGAGCGTTCTGGTAATGTAATGACTTTGAGTCACGTAGTCATGGCAGTTGGATGTTCCAAAGGCCGTCTTCAGCATGTTGCCTCGCACAGAAAGTGTCTTCCCCTCTGTAACTGCTTTGCAAGCCTCGGCTAAAGCAGACCCTTCTGACTGGTTGCATCTCCTTGGGATGTTTTCATCAGGGAGTTTTGCCGTGTAAAATAGGATCAAAAACAGAACACCAAAAACAAAAATGACCAGAATGTGAAGCATCTGTGAATTCATGATCAATGCTGAAAACTGCTATTTTGCCTCATCCTAAGATTAAAACAAAAGATACAGCTCATTTAGGGTGCTGGATTTTGAAAATGGCTCCTTATTGTCATAGTTCTGCAAGAAACAAAAACATCAAGACCATTGGTTTTCCACTGATAAGCCACAACTCACTACACAGGAGTGGAAAACATGGAACACCTCAGATACTGTTGGATTTCAAGTTCCATTATCCCTCACAAACCATTTGGTATGCTGGTAGAGCTGATGGGAGTTGTAATCCATCAACACACGGAGGAACATATATTTTTATCCCTTAACTATTTGCTTGTGCCAGCATTTGTACTACTGTACAAATGTATGTGTCCAAGGTCTAAATCCTAATGGTAGACTAATTTCTATTAAAGAATCCTCAAACACAGATGCCATAATTATTAAACAACTCTCTGGCAAGTCTCACTTTATTCTTCTTCTTACACTCAAGTGAATGGAACAACAATAATAAACTTTACTGTTGTGCATCAGTTTTCTTAACAGAATATATAATAGTTTGTCAGTAGCCCATAGACCTTTAAATTCTAAAATAAAATATCTGATTTTATATAGAGAGAGAAAAGGAGTCAAATATACTGTACAGCTATCCAAATACTAAAAGAGGACAGTTATTATGTAATGTTGCAGATTTATTAATTTGAATTTGGAAATTCAGAACTGAACAAGAAGAGAGGAAAAGAGAGCTTGAGATATTTTTCTTCCTTACACTGATAGGGCTCCTTCTTCCGTTTAGCAATTTAGAACTTTTATTTTATTTATTTATTTAATTAACTTATATGCCGCCCACACTACCCAAAGGTCTCTGGTCAGCTTACAACAGTTAAAATACAGTTAAAAAAAGATAAAACAATTAATATACAATTAAAATATGTACTCTAGAATTGTCATCAGGACCCACAGTTGATATTATATCAATTTAAAGCCTTCTGGAACAGGAAGGTTTTGATCTGGCGCTGAAATGTCAACAGCGACGGCATCAGACGAATCTCAATTGGGATGGTGTTCCATAGTCTGAGGGCAGCTGCTAAAAAGGCCCTTTGACTACAAGCCACCCCTCTTACCTCCTTGAGGGATGGTTCTTTCAAAAGGCCCCCCTGGCTAGAATTTAACTGCTGGGTAGGTTCATATGGAAGGAGGCAGTCCTTCAGGTATCCAGGGCCCAAGCCATTTAGGGCTTAATATGTCAAAACAAGCACTTTGAATTGAGCCCAGGGCAGCAACTGGTAGCCAATGTAATTTAAACAGAATCGGCTTGATGTGCCCCCTAGTGGCCCCACCTCTCACCAGCCACACAGCTCGATTCTGGACTAGTTGCAGTCGCCGGACAGTCTTCAAAGGCATCCCCACGTAGAGCACATTGCAGTAATCTATACGAGGTGTTACCAATGTGTGTGAAATTGTCATGAGACCCCACTCGTGCAGGTAGGGCCATAGCTGGTATACGTAATTTCTGCAGTTGAAGGAAGGCACCCCTGGCCACCAAGTCCACTTGGGCTTCCAGAGTTAGAATGGGGTCCAGGAGCACCCCCAGGGTGTGGACATCCCTTACGGGGAGTGTAACCCCATTCAGGACAGGGAGATGGCCCTCCAGCCTGTCCAGTGAAGCACCCACTAACAGCACTTCCGTCTTGTCTGTATTGAGTTTCAGTTTATTAACCCTCATCCAGTCCATTATCAGGTCCAGCACAGAAACCACCTCACCTGGATTGGTGGAAAATGAGTTAGAGCTGAGTGTCGTCAGCATATTGCTGAGTCCCCAGCCCAAATTTCCTGATGACCTCTCCCAGTGGTTCCATATAGATGCAAAACAGCATGGGGGACAGTGTCAAGCCCCGAGGAACTCCATGACAGTAATGCCATGGGGCAGAGCAACTCTCCCCCAGCACCACCCTCTGGACACGGTG